CTATTTTTAGGCCTTTGGGGCCGGGTTTCGGGAGGCCGGAGCCGAGCAGCGGGAGGGCGCCGGCCCACTTGCTGGCTGTCCGGGCCGCCGGGCGAGGCCGCCCCGGGGCGGAGGTCACTGGTCCTCCGTTTGGAGGCTGATGGCGGGGGATGTTACTCAGAGCAGTAAACTGCGGAGAGACTGCAGGTGCGACGGGTCTGTGGGAAGGGGGAGCTCCCACCGCCGTCCTTGGCCTTTCCTGTCCCTTGGCAATGTTCGCCAGGGCTGCTGCTCGAGCCCACGCTCCTCTGCGTTTGTCCTGCCCCGTGCTCCATCCTGGAAACCATCCACACCTTGTTTCCCGAAGCCCTTGAGTCCTACTCCCCTTTATTAAACTTTTCTTCCCGATCCCCTGGAATCTGCACCGCTTTTGAGTGAAAACATCTCTCATGGTGCCCCACGTTCAGTGCCTTTGGGGCAGGCCGAAACGTTTCCTTATTATGATGGATGGGTTGGACGACCAAGTACAGAGGGCGATGGGCATGACAAGGGACAGGTGTCACCGGCGGGACGCTGGGACCCTCCAGGGGTGGGGAACACCAGTCTTTCAAGAACTGAATAGTGGGCTTTCCTGGAAGAGAGCCCAACACTGTGTGAAGATGGCCCTCAGGTCAGAGGCTGGCGATGCACTTTCCTCTCAGCCCTCAGTGGAATTTCCACTGCCTCCTGCCTCCACATTGGAAAATGGGCAAAGGGAGAATGAAGAAACCTAAGACAGAGTGGCTTTGTGACAAAATGTCCCAGCTCCCTGTTTGGGCAACAGTGACCCCAAATGACCCCTGCCAGAGCTTGATCTTAAGTATCCTGCACACTTGGGTGCCCACCAACTTGCTGTCGTTAAAATCCCCTCAGAAACAGTATGCCCCAGAATCACCCCAGGGAAGGACTGGGGAAATCCTAAGGCGGGATGGTGGTCTTGGCAAGGTGGGGTTTGTGGAGCAGGAACAATAATCCTGTTTGCCTTCGGTCCCCGCAATTAGATGATTATTGGAGACAGTTGTGTGTGTGAGCGAGAGCATGAGAATGAATATGTTGGGGGAGCAGAGTGCAGGGTAGGGAGTACATACTGCTTGCTTCTCCAAGGAAAACAAGGAACCTTTATGAGCTTGTGGTGATTCTTAAGTCCATTTAACAGCCATTGGCCACTGTTTAGTCAGAAGCATTTAGGAGGCAAGGCCTCTTTGAGGAGCTGACATTTGAGCAGACACTCAAAGTGACTCTTGAGGGGTGGTGGGAGGCCTTTGCTCCAGGTTGAGAAAACTATAAAAAGCCCAGGGCCTGGCAGAAATGTAAGCACCAGAATGAAGAATACGGCCTCTGCTTTCAGACACTGTCAGCTCTCAACTCTCAATTGGAGTTGTTAGTTGGATTTATGCTTGGCTGAAAATACTGTCTGTGGTACCTCCCAGGAGAAACAAAAATTGAATAGCTTCACCACCACCTGTTAATTGCCTCTGAGTGTTAAGCTAGTCTGAGGATTTAGCTTGTTTGGATTCTAAATTAGGACAGATTGAGAAAGGAACTGATTTTTGCCAAATTATTGGCTGCAATGGGTCCTGGGGTGGCTTTTTCAAGGTAGAAGGTTGTAATGAGTGTTGTTTTTTCCCTCTTTGTATTAAGATCAGGCCTTTGTTACACTGACCACAAATGATTCCTACACCAAAGGAGCTCTGGTGCTGGCCTTGTCTCTGAAACAGCACAGGACCACCAGGAGGCTGGCGGTGCTCGCTACTCCGCAGGTCTCGGACTCAATGAGGTGAGCACTGCGCTGCCTGTCTGTGGTGGCACTTTGACATCCCTCTCCTATTGCTGGCATCAGTGGGCACTGAGGCCATACCCTTTACAGGGCTTGAGCACCTGGAGGAGAAAGATTCGAGTTGCTGAGTGAAGGATTTCAGGGTATGAAACCTCTGTCTAGTTTACGGGAGATATTCTATCAAAGCTCCCTTCTGTGACGTGAGGAGTAGATTGACTCCCCCTTAACAAGTAAGTCCTCAGGATGTGGGTTTCCATACAGGCATTCCCTTCATATAGTCACACTTCACATGCACTCCTTTACCAAAATGCAGTAGGGGCTGTTTGGTTTCCTGTTTCAAACCAGGGAAACCTCAGGTGACTTTCAAAGAAAATAGCAGTTTTCTCCACTGTCATTGACATTTGTATCCTAAAGATCTTTATTTACAGATTAATAAATTGGTATATTTGCCAAAGGACTTTCTGAATGTGGGATTGTGCTAGGAGAGCAGCCCGAAGGGCACAGCTGCTTGTTGTTTCGGTTATTCACTTTGATTTGTTGGAATTAAATTTTGAAGTATCTGAGTGAACTACCTACTTCCTAATACTAACTTTAAAAATATCTGGGCACACTAGCTACTCTGTATTGTGTTTATTTTGGCATTCTTTGATCCCTCTTAGAAATTGAAAGCATCTTTTTGTGACTTTTTTCAAAATATGTGAGCACATGCTAAGGACCTCTGAAAAGGAGAACATACATCTATACATATATATCTACATACATGCATGTACACAAGCAACCTTGTTTCTAAAGCAGTTGTTCTCAACCTTCTGGCCCTTTAAATACAGTTCCTCATGTTGTGACCCAACCCTAAAATTATTTTCGTTGCTACTTCATAACTGTAATGTTGCTACAGTTTAGAATCGTAATGTAAACATCTGATATTCAGGATGGTCTTAGGCGACCCCCTGTGAAAGGGTCATTTGACCACCAAAGGGGTTGTGACCAACAGGTTGAGAACCGCTGTTCTAAAGGGTACTTTAGGAAAATGCAAGAAAGTTTATCTCCTAGCCCTGGCCTGGTGACTCGGTTGGTTGGAGCATTGTCCCATACACCAAAAGGTTGCGGGTTCCAATCCTAGTCAGGGCACATACCTAGGTTGTGGGTTTGATCCCCAGTCTGGGCGTGTACGGGAGACAACTAATTGATTTTTCTCTGTCACATTGATCTTTCTCTATCTCCCCCTCTCTCTCTAAAAATCAGTTAACAACAACAACAAAAAAATTAACTCCTAATGTGTATATCCTAATTTGTAGTTTATTTATGGGGATGTATATAAGAGGATAGTTGTAGTCTTAGTATCCCCACCTCCCCCCACTCCACCACCACACCTTTACTGTGGTAAATGGTACCATTGACCATTTCTTTTCAATAAGGTCAAGTTTATTGTGCGAATTAGAACATATTCTTGGACAGCTCTGGAGACAGATAATACAGCACCAGTTGTTGTGCATGTCTGATATTAAAAACTCTCAGTTATGATCTGTATCATGTTTTAACTTAGGTTGAGTTTAGTGTCTTACTAAGTATACTCCCCTCACCACTTTCAGATTGCTTCCTAAAATAAATCTTTAATTGGGGACATGGAGAAGTGTTGTACTTCACAAATGGAAGTGAGTCTCTCTTTATGCTAGGAGTGCTAAGCACATCATAAATGCTGGTTACATTCTATTCTTAAAAATAGCTTCTTTTGCCCTAACCGGTTTGGCAGAGCATCAGCCTGCAGACTCACGGGTCCCAGGATCGATTCCGGTCAAGGGCATGTACATTCCCAGTAGGGAGTGTGCAGGAGGCAGCTGATCTATGTTTCCCTCTCTCATCGATGTTTCTAACTCTCTATTCCTCTCTGTAAAAAATCAATAAAATATATTTTTAAAAAATAGCTCCTTTTGAGACAAGTTTAGGCATTCTCTGTTAACTTCTTTAGCAAAAGTGATTAGTTACAGGCTTCATTGCAGACATTATATGTACTTCACTCAGCATCATTTGTAAAAATATGTGATAACCGGAAAGAATCAGTTCTAATAAGATAGTGTAAATACCAAGATGCATTCTTACCACATGTGAGTCACTTTCACAGCTGTTGCCGCAATTTGCCTAGTGTTTGGTAGTACAATAAAAAATAAGAAACTTCTATAAGAGTGTCTTAAGACAAGTGCTTCATACTCACTATAAGCAGTTATTATTTTAGTGAAGTTAATTGCACATGCAAAATAACATAATTTGTCCTGAAGTAAATGAGGACATATTTAAGAGATTGTGCTATGCCAAAGTAATAACTTGCCCTACTAATGCATGGATAGGCTAATAAAAATGCAGTCTTATGGTAGATGTCACTTGTTCTGAAAAGATGCTAAGCACTGTTTTTGAATTTTATTTTGACAGGAAAGTTTTAGAGACAGTCTTCGATGAAGTAATCATGGTAGATGTTTTGGACAGTGGCGATTCTGCTCATCTGACCTTAATGAAGAGGCCTGAATTGGGTGTTACCTTAACTAAGCTCCACTGCTGGTCACTTACACAGTATTCAAAATGTGTGTTCATGGATGCAGATACTCTGGTGAGTGTGGCTTTGACGGCTAAAAGGATGTATATGGTAGCTGGGATTGGTTAGGCATTAGCAGAACGCTGCCAAGACTTGACAATAAAGTTCAGATTCAAACAAGTGTCAGGTGATGAAGAAAAGCAGGCCCAGGCTGCCTTACAACTGTCATCTGAACAGTTAAGACCAGCAACAGATTGCGTCTTTTGTATTGGATGGCTTACAGAGAGCTTAAGAACATTTTTGTAATGCTGTCCCTCCCCCTCTTTGAATCAGGTCCTAGCAAATATTGATGATCTTTTTGAGAGAGAAGAATTGTCGGCGGCTCCAGACCCCGGGTGGCCTGACTGTTTCAATTCTGGAGTTTTTGTGTATCAGCCCTCAGTGGAAACATACAGCCAGCTGCTGCGTGTTGCTTCCGAGCAAGGTAGTTTTGATGGTATGTACATCTTTTTATCATGTTATCTCTTTATCTGATCAGCTATTAGTAAATTCTAGAAAGTGCTCTTCTCAGGGATATTGTTGTTGTGGTTCCTTGTGCCTGGAACACAGCATTACATGAAGTGTAGCAAGCTTTTTATGTAGTGCACTTTGGAAGTAGTAGTGTGTTGTGTGTGCACCTGCATCTTTTTTCTATAGGTATATAAGAGTATCCTGACCTAGGACAGGCAGTTTATAATTTTACCTTTATTGGTTTTCCTATGTCTACTAGTAAATTAGAGTATGATAAATGAATCATGATTATTCAAGAATTCAAAAGACTATGAGGCAAATAGAAAACTTGAACAACTATTTTTAAACCCGTGTAAACTTACATGCAAGACCTAATAGGACCAAGTGTTGTCTCCATGGAAATTGGAGGAGTAAACCTAATAATTTGGCTCTATCCTCTTAGGAGACATTAAAAAATAAGATAGGCTGTTTACATGAATAATCTTTGTCTCCATATTCTCATTCTCTGTAAGGCTTTGCATCAGATAGAATGGCATCTGTAAGGCTGAAGAGTGATCACTGGTGACGTCAGCATCCATTTTCCATAATGATAAGTGTATCTGTAGGGGTATATATACATAGAAAGGTTCTGACTACTTGTTATTTAGGGTCTCACATTCTCTGGAGAATTTTGATCAAATGAATTAGTAGGTATGCTTCTATTTCAGGACAGTCTCTGAAATAAAAAGCTGTGTTTTTTTAAACAATAAAACCATACATAATAAGACAAAACTAGTAGTTAAATGCAAAAGCAGCTTTTTAAAAATTAATGTTGATGAACCTTTTGAATAAAGGAAAGACCCCATGTATCCAGGAAGAAAGACATGCCTCAGGAGAAGCCCTCTCAGCAGTGACTCACTGTCAGATATTTGACATTGTGGCAAAAGCCCAGGCCAGGAGTGCAGGGCTGGGCCAGAGCCTGAGCTCTGCAGCAGACCAGGCCCTAAGGGGCTTTTTCCTCCTCACTCCCCTCTTAGAGCGGACTTGAGATTTTCATTGAGTAGATCTTTTGAACTAGCAGAAACAGCTTTCCTCATGCATATAAGGTTCTGGCTTCAGTGCAGATGGGATTCATTTCCATTAACTAGTTATAAATCTAAAAATCAAAATCTCAAAATTAGACTTCCTAATTAAAAAATTAAATCGAAAAGTTTGTCTGAAGTTAAGAGATTGAAAATGAAAACATTTTAAGTTATACATAACACTGAAATTGGTTTTTTGATGTTGCTGTTCACTGAAATTGAATTCTGTTTAGTCATTTGAGGATTTGGAATATGCAGCTATTTGAAATGTTATTGAAAAGACTAAGGAAGTTTAAGTCTTAATCTTATTTCACTATTTGGTTAGTTTATACTCTGTGCCAGTCGTTCTCAGCCTAGGGTGATTTGGCAACGTCTGGAGACATTTTTAGTTGTTGCAGCTGAGTGGGGAAGATGCCACTGACATTTAGTGAGTGGAGGTTAGGTGTGCTGCTGAATATCCTACAACATACAGGACAGTGCACAGCAGAGTGTTTTCTACCTAAAATGTCAGTAATGCTGAGGCTGAGAAACTGCTCTGTCCAGGACATTACATGCTCCAGGACACTGAGTAGAGCTGTCTGGACTGTAATAAATGGCAGCATCTGACATTAATCAGTCTCGAGTAAGAAATAATATATTGAGTGCTCATTGTAGGCAGGGCCAAGTATAACTTCTTCACTTTACTGACTTATTTTTTTAGCTCCTACTGTTTCCCTTTCATATAAGGACTGAAAGCTGTATTAATATTTGAATTCAAAACATGTATTCCTTATTTCTACTGCTTTTACTAAAAGTTGCCTTTGCATAAAAGGAAGGTGAGAGTACTTTTAGCAGAAGTCCACTATTTGTCTTAACCTTCCTGCAAGAGTGTAGCTTTCTTTACCTCCTCTCATCAAATTTGAAGGAAATAATGTAATCCTGTCAGAAATTCAGTGTGAATTCTCAATTCCAGTAAGTGATTCACATTCTAAAGTAGACCCAGTGGCCTGAAATCCACATGATTATAAGAGTGTAAAGAGAATTCCATTCTAATGTGAAAGAGCATGAGATGGTGGTGTTGGGAAAGAAGAGTTTGGATACCAGACAGTAGTGTGCCATGGTGACTGTTTTAGAATGTAAACTAATTAACTGGTGGAGACCAACCTGGATTATCTAAGTTATTCTAAAATCAAGAGGTGCTCCCCTGGCCAGGGTAGCTCAGTGGTTGAATGTTGACCTATGAACCAGGAGGTCACAGTTCAAGTCTCAGGGCACATCCTGGATTGCGGGTTTGATCCCCAGGAGAGCATGCAGGAAGCAGCTGATCAATGATACTCTCTCATCATTGATGTTTCTCCCTCTCTCCCCCTCTCCCTTCCTTTCTAAAATCAATAAAAATATATTTTAAAAATAAATAAATAAAATCAAGAGGTGCTAGAAACAAAAATAGATCTAAATTTGGGCCCAGTGTTAGGACCCAAGTCCAGACTTCTTTCTATCAGTATAGGGTTTGCTTTCCTGGTGGAAAGAACTCTGGATTTAGAATCAGGCCAAGAGTAAATTGGAAGGGGGCTTAAAAATGGCAGAGGAGCCCTAACCGGTTTGGCTCAGTGGATGGAGCATCAGCCTGCGGACTCAAGGATCCCAGGTTAGATTCTGGTCAAGGGCATGTACCTTGGTTGCGGGCACATCCCCAGTAAGGAGTGTGCAGGAGGCAGCTGATCGATGTTTCTTTCTCATCGATGTTTCTAACTCTCTATCCTCCCTTCCTCTCTGTAAAAAATCAAATATATATATATATATGGCAGAGGAGTACGTGGAAGCTACACTGACACTCTCCCAGGACCAAACTGGAAATACAACTAAAATAGAGAAAAACCACCCTGAAAAATTGACTCAAGAATAGTTGGAGAGAACCCTGATAACCAAGGATGGAAAGTGGAGATGCGTAGAGACTGGTAGGAAGTGCAGAGGGCGTAAGGGCTGGACAAAGAGAGGGCCAAGAGACATGAAAAATGCTCAAAAGCACTGATCATCAGAGAGATGCTGATCAAAATGACAATGAGGTATCACCTTACACCTGTCAGAATGACTACCATCAGTAAATGACAAGTGCTGGTGAGGATGTGGAGAAAAGGGAATTGTAGTCCACTGCTGGTGGGAATGCATGCTGATGCAAGCCATTATGGAACACGGTATGGAGTTTCCTTAAAAAATTAAATATGGCACTCCCATTTTACCCAGGCCCCTCTGGCAAACAGTGGCAATGGCAGGGCAGTGACTTTGAAAGGAGCAGACTTGTGATCAACCAAAGAACTTGTATGCATATATGCATAACCCAGGGACACAGACAATAGGGTGGGGGACAGGGGCGGGCTGGAAGAGGTCAATGGGGAAAAAGGAACATGTGTAATACTTCCAACAATAAAGATTTAATTAAACAAATAAAAAAGTACATTGGAAGGAGTTCTAGTATATTTTCTTATACTTTGTGCTGCAAGAAGAATAGCATGAACAGTGTTCCCGGGTTGCCCTATGAAAGTCCTTTTTTCTATAGAATTAAAATAAATTATAAAATTAACCTAAGAAACAAACAAAAATAAAAGGTTAAAAACTATATTGCAGTAGTTGTAAAAAAAAAAATAGAGATGCTAGAAGGGTAGGTGAATTTATTAAGAAGCAGGGACCTGTAAACAGTGTTCAACTAGATAGTACTTTCTGCTTTTGCAACCAGAATCTGAACCCGCTGAGAGGTTTCCTGTGCCTGCAGCATGCTTCCTTCTCAGCTGCAGTGTTTCAGAAACTGGCCTTTCTGATGGTGTTCCACGCATTAGCTCTTGGTGGTGAAGGGTTGAATTTTCTCTCAATAAAACTGCTTAATTGACAGTTGAAAATTTAACAATGCAGATGGAACATATAGTTATTCTCAATATGTTGTTTAAATTAATAGGAGCTCCTAACTGCAAGGTTGTTTTCACTGAATGTGTTGATAAGCTTTACTTATCAGAGAATGTTCACTCGTGTTGTGGGAGCCTGCTCCTATCTGGAGGGGTTTGCAGTAGTCCCCGCTTTTCCACAGTTTTGCTTTTGTGGTTTGTTATCTGTGGTCAACCGTGGTCCAAAAATACTAAACATGGAAAATTCAAGAAAGAAACAATTTATAAGTTGTAAATTGCATGCCATTCTGTGTAGCATGATGGAATCTCATACTGTTCTGGTCCATCCTGAGTCATCCCTTTCTCCAGCATCTCCACATTGTATATGCTTCCTACCTGTTAGCCATCTTGGTTATCAGATTGTCTGGGTGTTGCTGTGCTTGTATTCAAGTAACCCTTATTTTATTTAGTAATGGCCCCAAAGTGCAAGAGTAGTGAGACTGGCAATTCAGAAATGCCAGAGAGAAGCCATAAAGTGTACATGTACGTATGCATGTATATATGTATAGGAAAAAAACAGTATATAGGGTTTGGTACTATTTGCAGTTTCAGGCATCCACTGGGGGTCTTGGAATGTATCCCCTGCAGATAAGGAGGTACTACTGTACTATCTTATGGAATCCATACCTGTGTGACATAATGACTTATTGGACTTATGCTTAATATTAATAGAATATTTCTTTGTGAGCTACATCCTGTTTAATGGCAGTAACCTTGCTGTGCCTCAGGTTTTCCATACAGTGCCCAATTTTGTGTGTTATGCCACAGGTGAGATGAACAGTTTCAGACTTTTCACTGTACCATACATTTTCTAACATGCACAGGTATCTGCCCACCCCCTTTCTCTCCCCCTGTTTTCCTGAACAGGGGGCTTAAACCCCCTAATTTTTAGACTGGTATTAAAGAAAACTGGTTTACACATGACTATATCTCAGTCTGAATATTTTGCAAGTCTTGCTTAATTTTTTGCATACATTCAACAAAAAGTGATGGGGCCTGGTGTCCACTGA